GAGCAGTAATGTGCCTCATCGGGTATGCCATAGGCCATCTAGTGAAAAGATCCACCACAACTAAGGCGTAATTATATTTTGGTTTGGGTCCGCTTTCCGTTGATATCATCGGCCCAATACAATCCATTACCAGATGGGAAAACGGTACCTCCTCCTTCCTGGAAATGGGAGTTATGGGAGTTCTTTCTGTTATCCTGACCGGGTTTCTCAGCTGGCATATTTGACAAGAGTGACAATATCTTCGTATCTTCTCACACATTTCCGGAAACCAAAAGCTAAGGGCCACCCTTTGTCTTGTAGACTTAGCAGCCATGTGTCTAGCAAACGGTTTATCATGTCCCATTTCCATCATTATCTGAAGCCTGGTTGCTGGCAAACACAACTGTTTCACTTTATAACCCAATACAGTTTCTTGGCGGTATAAAATGTCATCTTCGATAAAAAAATTCTTTTTTTTCGCCCACTCCCAACATTTTTTGAGCGTCTGATATTAACGTTGTTCCTGAAGGAATTTTTCCTTTTCCAGCGTACAGCCACCTTCCACACTCTCTTCATCATCTTCATCTCTAACATTACATTTATTATTCTTCATCGTCACATCTTCCTGACTACCATCATTATCATGAACATCCGCCTCTTCATCATCGACCAATCGACCACCATCGCTACCAACCCTTGCTTCCCCTGACCGAACCACATCTCCAACACCATCTACCTTATCTGCTTCATCCGACTGACCAACGTTACCAGCATCATCTGCCTGATCAACATTACCAACATTACATTCCATCTTCTCATCCTCCTCACCATCAACGTCGTGATCCTCATCACCATCAACACTGCTGGCATCCAAATTACAATTATTAATTCCACTGACTTCATCATCTTTCTCCTCATCAACCTCATGATCATCAACTATATCTACAATACCACTGCCATCTATTTTACAATTATTATTTTCATTAACTAGTTCATTCCCAACCTTATCTAACATACTGCTGCCATTTATTTTACCATTATTAATATCGTAGTTATTGTAAGCCACTTTCGATCTAACATTGATCTTCGTATTATCACCATTATTGTTGTGAGTACCTTTACTGCCAATATTGTCGTCGCTGCTATTGCTGTCGTTGCCATTGTGGGAAGTACTTTCACTACCACTGTTTTTAGATATCAATTTACCACTGGCGTTGCTGTGGTCGTTGCTACTGTTGTGAGCTATTTCATATCGTCCAACAATACTTTTATTGTTATTACTATTATTGTTGTGAACTGTATGTGTACCAGCTTTGTTAATCTCATGTGATATAACAATGCTTTCATCATTACACTTATCATTTTCACTGACACGACGTTTGGCTGCATCAACACCATCACGCCTATCAGATCGTCCATACCTCTCCTGACATGGTATCTGGAGGCTATCAGGGTTGTAGAACGTCAAGGTGCTCTCATTCCCCAACTTGATTGGTGTGATATTCTTGGTCATTTCGAGTTTCACGGCAGGTACCACATACTGTTCTGCCATCTTCAATAATTCCACCACCTTGGGTGTAATAATTAACTGTTCGCTGGCATTAGGTACCACTGCACACCATACTCGTACAGTGGGGGCAATACTTTCGCCTTCATCAGGGTTATAGGCCATCATTACCCATGCACCATCTACTTCTGTCGTTGGTCCATTCCATCCCTTGATCTTCAAACGTTCCCCTCTGGGTATGTTTAACTTGTGACATAAGTCCTGAGAAATTCCACATACATATCTACCAATGCTGCACAGGTCGGACCAGCTTGAATTTTAACCTGAACAAATGGTCTTTTAAAGTATTTTTCAGCCTGTATGGTCCCAGGAGTAATACTTGGTTTCTGCAACTCCTTTGTGGCCTGAGACATAGCAGTGACCTGGCATTTCATGAACTTCTTGATGGGGTTATGATTTGTTTTTTGGGTACAAAATTTAGCAAGATGTCCCCGACTACCACAGTTATAACAACCTACCTTTGATATTGATCCTTTTACAACCTCTTTGTTGAGCCATTTGGGATCTGTTCCAGGACGTACAGCCGTTTGGAGTGGTTTATAGCCTGGGGCTACATTACTAGACAGTCTCATGTTCATGTTGGCCTCATATATCTCCACAACATTGGCCAGACGTTTGTGGGTTAACCATTCCTCACCTTCCTGAGCTAATACATGTTCCAACAAGTTTTTTGGCAACAATTCCTTCATTCGGTCTACGACTAGCAATGAAAGTGCTTGATCCAACGTTTCAACCTTCCGACTTTGTAAATAGAATCGGAGATTTCGATGTAGTCTCGATGTAAATGCAGGATATGTCTCATCATGTGCCTTCCGAGCCAAAAAGAATTCATCGCGGAGTTTCATCGGACAAAAACGACAATAACGTATGATCTGTTGTTTGATTACTTCATAATTTAGATAATCATCAGTTTTAATCTCATTTAGTACTGTCTTCATCTTCGTTTCTAAATTAGCCAGTAACAGATCTGCTCGCAATTCCTCACTAACTCGATGGCTGTCAAATATTC